AGTCCGCAAGACTACGTAGGCTCGGATACCTGGAATGAATGCCAGCTTATAGGGCGGTGAAAACGTTCTAGAAGTTGATGACCGTTTGGTCCGCCCAAATACCGATGGAAGTGGAGCAAGGCCTCTGCGGCCTGCACGCAGAGAACTGGGAGTAGATCGCATAAAACACAGCGCGCTGGCACCAACTCGTATTCATATATTTGTGGTGAGAGTACCAACTCAACATAAGTTGTAGGATGTTATGTAACGACGTTTCCGAGGATGATTACCGGACACACGCGTTGCGTCACACATACATATTATTATGTATGTTAGTCTATAAGGTATGTATGTATTTAGGGATCAATGTAAACTGAATATAAATAAATGTTATCTATTTAACCGTATTATTTGACTAAACCTAAAACCACGAAATGCCTAACCGGCTCACCGCGCCGCCAAGGATACCCATGCTTAATCACTGACAGAAAAACTTTGTTGCCAGTAAATATCTTGTATCTTTTACGTACTTTAGAACACCCTCGACCGTTTTGTAGATATTAGGCAAGATACATTTTTCAACGTCAAATAAGTTGCGTGTACGAAACGTTACGTGATACGAATGATAATGTTCTATTCCAAATAATGACGTAAGCAGGTGTTCGATGAATATCAAATATATTATTCGTCGTATTGTTACATACATGCTTTCACAGATAAGATGAGATGAAGAGTATTCGTAGAAATACTTGGAAATAATTCCTTATCGAGTTACAGGAAATGAGACTATTTTTACGGAACTAAATCGTGTATATTTGTTTATTCAAACAAACCAACGTGTCGGGCACCAGTACAAAATACACATTATAGTAACAATAGTACAGGTACTTGTGTAAGAGTTCATTTACGAAATCCTGCCATAATGGAACGCAGTAATGTGAGCATTACTGCGCTCTTGTTTTGAAGGATAAGGTTCAATTTATACTCCGGCGGAATGGAGTGGAAGCGAATTTTTGTAACATAGCATAATGAACTTAGTGATCAACTTTGTAACGTACAAAGTAGAAACAAGCCAAAAACTTCCGCGGAATGCGCGAGTATGCACGACAATTACGCGGATTTTGGCTCGTATCTAGTTTGTACTTTACACAATTGACTATATAAAGTTCATGCTATGTTACAAAAATTTTAGTACAAGTAGAGCACCTTGTGAAAGGGTTCGTCCAGGGAAGTACTACCACCTTACCTATTTCTGCCGCCAAGCGGTAATGTCAGCATTACTGTGTTCCGGTTTTGAAGGGTGCTGGTGATATTACAGGCACATGGGACTTGTCAACTTAAGTCTCAGGGTGACAGGCGCAGTGGCAGTGCCCCTCAGATCTTTGCAATTTAAAGCTCTAAGTGGCACTGTAACTGTTATGGACAGGCTTACCATCAGGCGCACGACTTGTTCGTTCCGTCACTTGATGTTATAAAAAAAAAATTCTTTTCCACTTCGTTTCACTACAACGTAAATTGACCCTGAGACAATTCATGAAACTATAGATACGTGGGACTTGTCAACTTTATGTCCCAAGGTGACGGTTGTAGTGGTAGTTCATCTCAGATTTTTATTATTTAAAGCTCTGCAAGTGTTATGAACAGGCGTGTCGCTTACCACCAGGCCTTGTTCGTCCCGGCACTTGATATCATAAAAAACATAGCAATATTATTTTTCAAAATAACATTAATAGCTGCGCAGTAGAGTTCCTTGTGACAGAGTTTGTCCAGGGAAGTATTGCCACTTTAGTATTTCTACCGCCAAGCTGTAATGTGAGCATTACTGCGTTCCGGTTTTCAAAGGTGAATTATTTTTTATAATTGGATTTGATGTTGCATTAAAAAGACGAAAATACAAAAAAAAAATCCCTCTCCCCAAACCCCTTCCCCCCCCCCCCCCCCCCCACACACACGATCATGGCATCCCGTCATGAACCCTTACCAAAGCGTTAGCGTTTTTTTTTGTATGACTTCGACCTATAAAGAGCGAAGGCGACCTATAAAGCAACAAAATCAACTATATTATTGAAACTTGAAGTTTATCACATGTTTCACATGAAATATAACAAAATAGGAACTTATTATTAATTAACGCAAAATACTTCTTAATACTTCGAGATCTTTTCCGTCGATTCGTCGTCAAAATACTCAAGAAAATAATGAAATGGTGGTCGACAAGTTCCAGTCGTAGAGCGAGATGGGTACCTACCACAATTGATCCCCATCACCATATGACATTTGCCTCCACTTCCTTGATCTCTGTGATGACGGTGCGTCAGTCGAACGACTTCGCCTTTCTGATCGTGACCGTTCTCGAACAGAAGTATGGCTTCGAATAGATGATGATCGACCACGACTTTGGTGAGTATCATAGTTACTTGAACGGGCACTGTTAGAAGATCGACCAAGACTGGATGATAGACGTGGCTGTGGAGAATTCGGAACCCTCTGAAAAACGACTGTTCTGGGCTGGTTCCTCTGCCAGTGATACGCCTTTGCGGGCGTCTCTGGTGGACTCGGACATGGGCATGGACTCGCCGGGGTTTGTGGTTAGCTGCAGAGACAGACTTGTTTGTTTGCCCCGGTTGGGTGTGGCCGGGGCATCTGTCTGAAACCTGAAGTGAGGAGACGCGCGGGTCACGTGAATTGCCCTTTAAGTTGGAAGCTATGTCCGGACATTGTCACAGGACTAGCATCTCCTCCACTAGTAAGCCCGGAGAGCTAGTAAAGAATAAGCTAGATATCCTCCAGTCCCTCCAGCAGCTTAGGTTATTGGGAACTGGAGAGACGTCGTTTTCGGTGTAGGAAAGTGAGCATGCATTACAGCTCCACCACCATACAGGAGATTTGGTAGTGGACTCAGAGGGTCACTATAATCAAAATTATCGTAGGAAGATATGGGGTTGGTCAGGGCTGGTGAGAATTTCCGCTAAAAACATAAAAAAATAAGTAAAAAAAAAATAATCTAGTCGTTTCCATCCTGACAAGCACGATCGTGTTTTATGACTTTATGACTGAATAAAAACCAAAATTTCTAACAATTCACTGCTTAATTATTTTTTATGTAAAATATAACATGTACTTGATAAGAAAATACGCCATAAAGTCAGAAAACACGAAATGATGAAATTTAAAAAAATCTTAACGTGTTCCGAGGCTGGTGAACCTTCTTCACTGGTTTTAACCCGATTAAATCCGGGGTTTTAACCCGTTAATAAAGCGTCCGGTTAAAACTTTAAAACCGGGGCGCTCGCCCATCTCTAGTGGTGATGACACAATTAAACAGGAATTGTTATTATACGTGATACTTTCTACTTCGGTCCTTTCTTGTTTTAGGCAGCATAGAGTAAAATTTGCATGCTTTTGACTCTGTACAAATGGGTTCAGAACGTCGTTACCGTACTTAAATAAGTAATTAAAAGTTTACCTTGACTGTTAAGTGGTAAGTAATATTTAACTGAGTTAAAAAGTTTCCCAATAATATTTGAATTTGCCTATTTTCGCAAAGCTCGATTACTCCGAAGCTTAAGGACTTTCAAATCACCAGTGTGACAGGGCACTTAGAAAATACTAAAAACTCCTTAAATACACGTTTGTTACAGATCTTAGTTCTTTTGATTTGACGGATTTTTTGCCGTAGCGCCATCTGTGAGAAATCTATGAAAATGTTTTCTTCACTCCTTCACTCCTCACCACCTTCAATTATTTTTGTGAAATTACGCCATGAATCAATAATTAAAAATCGTGATAGTAGAACATCGTATTTAATGACATCAATTTTACAATTGATTAAGCGACATCTTTTAGTAGCTATAAAGGTACCTGGTTGATGAAAACTCATAGATTTCTCACAGATGGCGTTACGCTAAAAACTCCTTAAATAGATATGTTTATTTATATATAATATCAGAACCTAACTTGACATCAAACGTGACGACTGATGCGCGGGATGGGGCACTCTACTCAGGGGAAATCAATTTATACTTTTTTTGTCGAAAAACATTCTTGCCATTTACGTGCCTAAATGTAGACAGTTCTTTGAAATCGACCAAAGAAAATTGTTGACGAAATTGTTTGTTGCGAAACTTTTTGAGTAATTCTTGCTTACGAATAGAGCCTTATATTCCGTGGGCATCGTGTAAGTCATTTGTTCGTATTAGTTCCATTGCCTAGTTCCGTGATGGAAGTACCTCTGTTTTTATTAATATATATTTTGTTATGAAACCAAGTGACAGGCCGAATAAGTCGTGTGCCTGGTGTTTAGTGACATGCCTGTCCATAGCAGTGCAGTCCCACTTAGAGTGTTAAATCGCAAAGATCTTAGGGGCACTGTTAATACGCCTGTCACCCTGGAACATAAGTTAACAAGACCCATGAATCTAGTAATACTCAAACATTGCTGCTTGGCAACAGAAATACGTAACGTGGCCGTAGTTTTTCCTGACTCCTTTCATAAGAAACTATACTGCTATCATGTAAATTTTCGCGAATTAAAATAGAGTAACGGAAAAAATTGCTTTAATTCCGTCATGGTCAGGTCCAAATAGATATTTCTGTGTAATTTTGCACACGGTAACAATAGCAGACTTACTGGTATGTCAGTAGCAAGTATGTTTTGGCATTAATACGAACGAGCTGTGGAAATATCCTTATTTTTCTTACTAAAGGATAAAATCGTCCTACTGCTTTGTGCTTTTTCGTTATTGTGGCTCGCGTGTTGAACAAGCAAATTACATTTACTGCTGACAGAATTGACATTGGAGCGTTAGATCAAAGTGGATTGGAATATTGCTCTTTGCTTCCGTAGTGCCACTTACCATGATTAAATGGCCAGAACACATATATACCAAAACCAAAACCTGAGATGATTAATTAATTCATCTTTTTGGTAGATGCACGCGGTATTTGCTCAGGGCTTGTTCCAGCAATCACTTTCTTGATTATTGTGATATGAAGCCTAATAAAGTAAAAAAAAAACTTACCATCCCAACATAGGTGGACAAGTAATAGCCATAGCAGAAATCCAAACGAAGAATATCATCGTGAAAGCCAGTTTCTTGGACCTTCGTCTCCTCGAGTACGTCAATGGCCTGGTAACGGCCAGGTACCGGTCCACACTGATAGCACAGAGAGACAGGATAGACGCTGTGCAAAGAAGAATGTCCAGACTGATCCAAATGTCGCAGAGGATCCAACCTAACTCCCATTTGCCTGTTGACAAAGGAAAATAAAGCTATAGTAAATTCGTGAAATAAACAATATTGAAGCTATGGGTGTAACAACGGTGTAGCATGTAAAAGTGAGAGTCGAGAAAATTGAAAAAAAAGTTTTAATGTCTTATATTCTTTTAATATTTATAATACGACTCTTATATACTTTATTATTTATTTGTCCTATGATTTAGCTAAAGGTGTTATTATCACTTTAAAACAATTAGAAACATTTGAAAATATTTTGTTTTCCTTGTGTTATCCGTCCTTGTTGCACCAAACCGGTAAATTAACGGGGCGTTCGTTTTATTATTGGTTTTTATGGAAAGAAATTACGAAAAATAGTCTTATTTAAAAGTTACATTGATAAAAAATTAAACGTATTTTTAATCATTCATTACATTCGCTGGATTGAAATGAATCGACAGAATCATCTTCAGCATGTCTCATTTTTTGCATTAAAATAAGTTTTTACAATCTGCTGGTGGTAACGTGTCCGAAATTTAAACGCACATTTATAATCTATGCCACAAGGACGAAACGCCACCTTCTAAATGACTTAAAATTAGTCCATATAGAAGAAGAGCGAAATGAGACACAAGTCACAAGATATTTTGATGCAATAACATCAAAACGGGGCTTTCTGTGACGAACGCCAATTGTTGTTGTTCCCAATGCCACAATGAATACCAATTCTCAAGTCTGAAACTGGTAATTTCTATGTACATAGTATGAGAACCTGAGTTATACTCCTATTTACGCACGCGTGACTTTATGTTCCATACGCCCCAATATGTATTCCAGTCGTGAGTATTACTAAATGTTTCGTGTTTATCGAAGGTGATGAACCTTTACGAATTTCAAAGACTATGAAAGTAAGGGCGTTCCTCGCCTACCGTGCTACATTCCGTGAGAATAATGGAACTCCGAGCGTTTTCCTCGCAACAAGTACTCGTAAGTTAACAACTAACTTTATATGTAACCATTTCACTATAAAAAAATAACTACTGGGCGGGTACTGGACGGGGCAAGTATATATACTTTTTTATGTTTTCCATTTCTCATTGTTTACAGCTTTTTTGTCTACAGTTGGTTCGTTTCTATTTTAGCTAGTTTTCCTCAAATTTTAATTTATATAGCTTTACTTCGAGTCTGATTTTCCCACAGTTCCTCAACAACTGTGACATTTTTTAAAGTCAAAAATCTTGGGGTTGACTAAAACCTTTAAAAAAGGAAATAAAAATCCTTTTTTAAAAAACTTTTAAAAAAGGAATTTATCAAACCTTAATCAATTATATAGGGTTCATATTGATCTACCTACCATCTCTTCGGTTGCCATCTATCGGATAATTTTAGAAATAAAAATTCCTCTCTTTATAAAGTACATATCTTTATAAAGTACTGCTCCAAGTGACGTTTGATAGTCTCTTCGTTATCAAAGTCGAGACAATTAAAAAAATTGTTAAGACCGAAACAAGTAAAAACTTAAAGTACTTTTATGTGTTAATTACCAAGTTACCGAAAATTTTTGCGCAAAGGTTTTCGATAGCTTAGTAAATAACACAGTGATATTTATATTTTTAATAAGATCATTTTTATAGGAAATGAAACAATTTTTTCGGATTTAAATATGTATAAAAAACATATTAAAAAAAATAGTTTCATTTCCTATGTGTAACAATGGCGAAAACCTAAGAACTCGATAACATCATTTTTAATTTACTTTTTTGAGCTTTTGTTACTGCCCGTTTATATTACCACTTGTTTATTAAATAAATAAATATTAGACATCTTCAACTCAACATCAACAACGGTGCTCTGATTCCAAATTAAGTAACTAAAGCACTTGTGTTATCGCAAACGGCAGCAACAACGGTGCCACAAACACTCAGATCCGAGACAATATAGAAAAGTTAGTTTTTCTAAATTGACCCGACGGTGATCGAACCTGGGACCTCGGAGATGGGCGACATTATAAGAACCGTTGTGCAAACCACTTGACCACGGAAATCGTCAAAAAGATACTTTACTATTGCCTCACGTAATTTGAATAATGCAGTGTGTATTCTGAAAGACTGCCTGTCAGTTACATGGTCGTCAAATTTTATACTCTCGTCGACCAAAATGTTTCAAAGTTTAATGTTTAATAATAAACTGCGTCTACGTTTAATTGACATAAATACAGTTCCTTAATAATGCCTACGCTGCGAAAAAACTTTCTTGAATGGCAAAGAAGGCTAATTTAAATAAAGCCGCACGCAAACGATTGTAATTATACCAGCTATACCGTTTGTAAGTGTCACAAACTCGGGACAATGAGATATATTTGGACCTTTATAATTCCACCTTATGGAATTTAACGAAGAAAAATGCGTACCGATTATGTGCGTTCGGTTTTGGATATTTTTAGAAATTATCTTGTTTCTAGCATATATTTAGAAATTATATTGTAGTAATGTGACGAAGACATTGAAAGAAAGGTAAAACTCAAAATTCAGTGAACGGGGCCATAAAAATGATGATGCACAGCCAATCAGCATCTGAGAAAGCGCAAATAGCGGTACATAATACTGTATTGGTTAAAACCACGGAAGAATAAACAATGGAAATGTCTTAAACCTCGACTACACTCAGAACCACTCCAAAAGTTACACAATCATAATTATGGTAAACACTATGAAATCTTTATAATGTTGGGTGGTTTCTAATTTGAAAAGATGTAACAAATTCTGGACTGTTAATATAATTTTAACTTTACCCTGTTGCCAATTCTTAAAAGTTTATTACCTACAATGGCAAATTACGTTTTGATTTTATATCTCGATTTAAATCTCAGTATGCTGCCATCTAACGGTCAATAGTTGAACGACGACGAATTCGAGACGTTCACTTAGTTCTCCAAAAAAGAAGCAGCCATATCGCAACGGCGTAAAGTTACTTACGTTTCTTGTTACAAAAAATTTTTAAGATAAACAGAAAATTGAAAATTTACTACAATTAAATGAAATAAGACTTAATGATAGTATGAAACACCATCTTAGATGATGACTATCATTTTTGCACTATCAAGTAGCAAAATAATGCATTTTTCTACGATTGTCGAAGTTTTGCGCGAGATAATTGACACGACCATAACGTACAAAGCGAAAATTTTGAACTGAGTTTAAGTATATGGAACTCCACGTAGTTGATACATGTGCTACGCGCACTAAGCACCTCTACCGTATTTATTGTTCTGTGATTCCAACGCTAATGCATGGCAGTGAGTGTTGGGTATGGCAGACAGAAGAAGCAAGTGAGTAGTTGCAGTAGCAATGAGATCTCTGCAAAAAATATGTAATGTGCGGTTATGTGATAGAGTGAAGAACATTTTATAAGAATTTGAAAGAGAATATAGTGACAAAAACAGAAAATGGTAATTTGAGTTAGTTTAAGCACATGAAGCGGATGAATTAATGTAAATTGACAAAAGAAAACCATAGACCGATAAAACTAGATACGTAGGTTCAAATATACAGGCAAAGTACAATAAAAGCTTAACCAGATTTTATAGCAGAGTTTGCATTAATATTGGACATAACTGGTTGATGACTGTACCACCTCAGTCAACCGTGACCATGGGACCTGTAAAAGGCCCGAAACGTTGGTTTGTTTCGGGACCTGTAAAGGGCCCGAAGCCTTTGTTTGTTTAAAAAAACAAATATACGCGATTGAAATCCGTAAAAATAGTTTCATTTACTATGTGTAACAATCGCGAAAACCTAAGAACTCGATAAGCTTCAGGGCATCATCCACTATTTTGATTCAATTTTCTACTCTAGTTTTTCTACCATTTTATCTTTATTATTTCCATTACTTAACGCGCAACCATTAGCGCTCGGCGTACCAAAACGAGGACACTTATTTAAGTAGATACCCATATTTTTTTTAATATTACTATTAATACTCGTTACAAAGGGGAAGTTTTATATTAATAATTAAATAAGTAGGTGTAAGTGTTCTACACTGTATTCTTTCTCTTTGTCTCGCTATATGCATTGTGTAGTTAAAAGGTGTTCCAACCATACTACCGAATTCCTTAGTATGCATATATGACATCCCACCTCTTTATCATCTTTTTCTCTGGTTCCTGGCCACCTACTTTGAAATTTTGAATCGTTCTTAAATTCCTTTTCTTCTCCGTCACTCACTTTACTTCTTTTCATCGGCACTCTCTACAAAACTCCCGAAGCGAGCGGACGTGCTATCTCTCATCATACAAATATAATAGTTGCTTATACACGTTTAACGATGTAACGTGTTTACAAACATACAGCACACACATTTTTGTGGAAAATTCCATAATGTCGAAGCTACCATAAACAGTACCTAATACGTCGATAATTGACAAACCTCCACAAGGGCACCATCAGGACTCTCCAGGCTGCACTACAACCTACAGGACATGCTTCAGTGGTGCCAGCAGCGCGCGACAGATATATCTAGTATATAGGTGCTAAGTCTAGATCTTTCAGAAATAAATGTCTAATTAAATAATAATTCTCTTCCTGGGGTGCCATCTCCTACTCGGTCGGCATTATAGATAGCTACTTAGGTCAGTGAAGTTGCGATTTGAAAAAGTTCTGTGGTACTCATGTGAACCACTCTGCAAGATTTTGAAGCCATGTGAAGAGACCAGGGAAAGAATGATCAAAGTCACTTAAACCACGTTTTGAAGTAAAGAAAAGTTAACAATTATTTATAAATGTTTTTTAGTTAAAATGGATAGCATATCGTTACATATTGCCCGTTTCAATCACAAACAAAACAAAAAACTTTTTTCTATCCTCTTAGCACAAAACTGATAACTTTTGACACCTCTTACTTATTTCAATAATATCTCTGAGCAAAGGTAGAAACACAAACAGCCTACAACATAATCTCAGCACAGATTGTTAAAAAAAACCGACCTCGAAAGTTCGTGGAAATACATCTATTTGCCAAGTTTTATTGAAATTGGTT